TTTCTTTTTTTCTCCTTGTTTTAAAAACTAAAAATGGTAATAAAATGGTGGCTCTTTCAGGAGAACAGAATACCTACCATAGATATTTCTCAGAAATGACAGGCTTTCTTTTTCTCAAAAGGTCATGTAACTTTTGTGGCTCTAAATGATTTTTATTTGTCTGGGCTGAGGATCAAAATGACTGTTTTGTTTTGCTACAAAGGAATGGCATGTTTTTCTTATAATTCAGTTTAGTTTATTAGCATCTTTTATGATATTTCTAATATTGTATGAAAACAGGCTTAGATTAAAAATCTGCAGAATGTGCCACTTTTATATTTGGTTAAATATTAGAATAATTGATTAATCAATAATTTCCAAATAATCTTTAGTTGCAAACCCAGTTATTGGACTTCCTACAATGGCTCTCAAAATATTTTAAGCTAAAAATGTTAAACTACCAACTGCTTCTAAATAAAGATGCTCCACAATGCAAACATTTGCACAAAATTTATTTTAGAGCCTAAAAATAGAAATTGAATAGTGGTTCTTTATGGACGTTTGTAATTATTATTATTATTTTTATTTTTTTTCAGGTGGCTGAGGTGCTGGACGTCGCTCCGATGCGAGTGTATGAAGTTGCGACGTTTTATACCATGTTTCTGCGTAAACCTGTGGGAAAATACTTCATTCAGATCTGCACAACAACCCCCTGCATGCTCTGCAACTCCGACAGCATCCTGGAGGCCATCCAGAACAAGCTGGGTAAGAGAGGGATTTTACATTTTAAGGCTGAGAAACAAACCAATAAAGACATGAGAACGCAGGTGACTGCAGAAGTTTTTAATCACTTATAAACTGAATAAACAGTGAGTACAAACATACAGGTTTAAACAGTATTAAAGGTGACCTGTTTTACTACAGGTTAGGATAGGTCTGTGGGCGATACAAAACATGTTCATTATGTATTTTTTGCACAAAATCATTCTTGGATAATGATTTTAGTCTGAGCTGCTCTGGGCGTCTTGTCACTTATATCCTAATGATCTGCTGCTGGCCACGCCCCCAACTCAACATTTACACTCGCACATGAAAATGGCTGCAAACAGATGGACAATTATCCAACCGCTCTTCCTTGAAAAGCGTGAGTAGAGACTCCTGCACAACCAACAAGACCGCAGCAAGTGGTTTCTGGATGGGAAGTCGACAACAAAAGACTTGTCTTTTCCAGCATCCATTGTACTGCAATAACACCAGCTCATCACATGTGCTGGAGCTTTGCGTTGGTTGCTAAGTAACCGCACAATGCCTGTAGAATGTGACACCTAATTCGGCTTCATTTGGTGAATTATTTACACACACACTTTTTAAATTACATACCTATATGTCACATAAATTACTTTATTTGTTAATTTATCAATCGGGGACCTGAGTCCGAGTTTTGTACCTCAAACATGCAAAGGTGGTATGACAATAAAAAAAAATCCTTGAATCCTTAATTTGGTGGTTTTTGAAATGGCACGTTTTTCAGACACCAAAAAGTATCAATTTATTGCCAAAAAAAAGGCTTTTATTTTTTAAATTATTATTAAGCGACAGGGCTGCTTTTAGAAGCAGCAGAGACCCAAATGGGAGTATAAAAGTGTTGAAAAAGTGAAATTTTCATAATAGTTCCCCAGTATCAACACCAATATAGAGATACAGACATTTACAAGGCAACACCAAGATTTTTTTACTTGCAGTCAAGGAGATGTTTAATACTTTACTGTCAAATGTTGCTGCATCAGTTCATGTTTCTCTCCTTATGTTCTCCACAGGTATCAAGGTTGGAGAAACCACTGCAGACAAGATGTTCACTCTGTTAGAGGTGGAATGCCTGGGCGCCTGTGTGAACGCCCCAATGGTCCAGATAAATGACAACTATTATGTGAGTGATCGACTGCTCCACGCAGATGGCGCTCTTAACAAAATTAACGAAATTAGATTAAAACCTGGAGTAAGTTGGTCAGGAACGCCTGCAGAGACTGCATCTATCAGCACTGCTTCACCGAGTCGAGTTCAGGTGTGCTACAGTTTACTCGGACCGTGTTTTCTAAATAATTCAGCTGTTATTTGCCAGTAGGAAAAGGAGCTGTAAACTTAAAGTTAACTAGAGAGTTTGAGCCAAAAAAAGTAAAAAGTCTCAGAAATTAAAAGCGATCTTTTTATGTAACGCAAGTTTTAGTCAACGTTGGATGCAAGCAAACAATTAACTGTCCTTGGAAATAATATTGGATCAACCAATTTTGCCTCAACCAAAAATGTTTTTACGTCATTGAGGATGGCGTAGAAGAAGACATGAGTGCATCTTCCTTCTTCATGAAGTGTAAACAAAAATTGAGTAGTGTCAGATTTTAGTGATTGCAGGATTTCTGTTTTGTGTTGGTAAAAAAAAAACACGAGCCTTTTCTCCCACCAGCTCTAGATTCACATGCTTATTTTGGTTGTATTTACCCATAATGCCTTGCTCTTTAGTGCATTTCCTGCTTTAAGAGTGGTCTCTGGTTCGCTTGGTGTTCACTTCAACTACAGACCTAGGTTTGTAGGCGGACCAGAGTTCCCCAAATGAACCAAATTTTGTATACAAATGAACTGGAGTTCAATTAAAGCAAACTAAACATGGCTGGTGTGAATGCACCCTTGAAGTCTATTAGGGCTGTACGGTATATAGTAAATACATCCAAATCGCAGAGAATAACTCTCAAATACACAAAAGGAGATTAATTGCCAACAAGATGGCAGCATAACCTGGATATGATTTTTTTCATATCGCAATATATATTACAGGGTACGGCTGGACAATAAATCAATAACATATATTGTTCAATATCAGTAGATGATACATCTGATAGAATAAAGATTATTCACTGATCAAACTGCATTCTGGGAGATGTAGGCAGAGGGAAGGCTTTAGCCTCTCCAAGCCAGCTAAGCAACTGAGTAGGATCAACTAGCTCACTCACTCTTTGGTTGCCTAGCAACTCACTCACTCTTTGGTTACCTGGCAACAAACTGCCCAATAACTGATGCAGCAGCAGTTTCAGAGTTTGCCACTATGCCTCATAACTGCTTAAAAATAATAAACGGCAGCAGAGTGAAAACTGGATAAAACAGGAAAGGTCATGCCATCAGTTTGGTAACATTTAAAATATTTAAACAAAAAACTAACCAGTAATTATTGATATTGAATTATATGAAACACTTTTACTTGAGTCCTGAGTGTTTAGAAAAGCGCTATACAAATAAAATGTATTATCATCATGATTATGATTATTATTATATTGTGATGTGATTTTTCAGCCATATCGTCCAGCCCTACTTCTGTGTCAGAAAACAAAAACATCTAAATGTTGGTCCTTTCCTATATCGCAAGAAAAAAAGCATCTTCCATAATATTTCAAATCCAAAAACCCCCAAAGAGAAATTAAATAATATAATAATTCACAATAATATAACCAATCAGTAAATGTTACTATTTTTAATAATATTTATTATTTTTAATAATATTTTGTGGTTTTGAGGATGTCAGTTGAAAATGGCATCTACTGCTTCTAGCCTTTAACTGACTGTATTTTTAAATATATATATATAAAAAAAAAAACTGAAAGCAGTCTTATTCCAAACTCTGAATCCCGATCACTAAACAGTTTATTTCTCCCTCAGGAGGACCTCACACCAAAAGATATCGAGCAAATTATCGACGAACTGAAGGCCGGACGAGTCCCACCACCTGGACCAAGGTACGCACAGCCAACATCAGATTGATAATGTCTGTTTTTCCATCTTTCACGCCTTCCTGTTTTGTTTCTATTGTTTTGTAGGAGTGGCCGTTTCTCTTGTGAACCGGCAGACGGATTGACCTCCCTGACAGAACCGCCTCCAGGACCGGGATTCGGTGTGAGAGCAGACCTGTAGATGTTAATAATGGTACTCTGAGAGGAAGTTGCCGTCATGTTTAATTCAAAGCATATTGTGTAAATAAAATGTTCATATACCTGTTTAGGTCCAAGCTTGGTTCTTACATTTACTCAGTATGTCTTAATGATAAACTACTACATATTTATAGCCATTTTTACACCTAATAGGAAGCCATATTATTCCTTTTTTTTTTACTTAGTTGTACAAAATTAGTGTAAAATGTATTAAAAATACATCAAATAAATCTGGTTAATATTGAGTACTTTCTACTAAACTGGAGGTTTTTAGTTTAATTATTCTCATGGATATTCTGCATTTATGAAATACAAGACATTTACAAATATTAATAATTTCTTAAAGAATCTACTGTTGCCAGTGGATGTTTAATTTCTTATTTCTGTCGGTTATATAATTGGGGCTCAATATTGGAGTTTTTAAACCATTTCTAATTTGACTAAAGATATATATTTTTAAATGTCTAGTCTGTTAATCTTTAGTTACTTGTATACCAAAAATCACCTGATTTTATAGGTGAGCACATGCTTTAATTGCCAGAGCAAATTTTGTTTTACTAAAAAGACCTGCAGTTGCGTTTATCCTAAATTTCTAAATACTTTGAAAAGGAAAAACAAGCAGGAAAGTTTGTAATATGTTCTTAAAGTGACAATATTCCAAATTAATGTCACCTTCTCACTGAATAGAGGTATTAACACATTTTTAAAGAGATTGTGCCTCAGTTTTATTTTATTTTTTAATGAAGCCACCTATTTTTGTGTAGCATATATATAACATAGGTTTTTCATGTATTTTGATTGATGTTACATATCCTAGAATTTTACCCTTAAAATAAGGCAATAGTTGTATTTTCTTACCTAAATATGACCCCTAATTTTGTTTTATTGTATTATTTTTTACCTTCAACTCTGTTACTTTAATACAGATTCTTACTTAAGTAAACAAAACATGAGCCACACTTATCCTTGAATTCACACGTTCATCTGAATCCAGATTTTATTCAGACAAAACTGAAAATGGCCGACCTGATTTAGAGCCGTCAGGAATAATGTCACAGATAAAGGTTTTTAGTTTCTATACGATGGCACAGATGTATATTTCCTCTGCCAGCGCAGATTTGTGATTTTCTTTTTAAAGGTTTGACTATTCCAATTTATTTTTAGGGAAAAATGTGGCATAGGTTTTTTTTTTTTTTTTAGTTTTGATTAAATTGAAAATGAAGTACATTTTTAGTCCTTTTTTTAAATACCAAATGTGGTATTTGTATTTGTGTATTTGTGTTGTACACATTTAATAAGTGGGAATCTGCTGATTGTATATTTTACTGTGACATTTCTAGTTTTGTTTGACACAGAGCTGTAGTGATGATTCATTCATCTACAACTGAAAAACACCTGGTGGAGACAGAAACTAATCACAAAGTAGTTCAGAGGAAACGAGTGGAAAGTAAGACTTGACCTTCGGGGTGGCTGTTATTTTTAGCACTTTTATGTCTTAACCTTCTCACTAAATCGTATTGGCATTTTGCTTTATTTCAAACATTAATCATCTGTGGCTTACAATAACTTAAATGCAGCTGATAGTGTGTCTGATTAGCCCTTAAAATACATTTATTTCCATGTAATATCCTTATAAATACCTTACATTTTAATTTTATGCTTGTATGTATGTTTAGATTTTGATAGCAAATACTAAAATATTTAAGGATTATGGTATCTAAAAAAGACAAACAGGATTGAGCTTTAAAACGGCTTTTTATCAACTTTATTTTCAATATTGGTATCTGTACATTTAATAATATGACATAATAAAGCACAATGATTTATGAAAATGAGAAAAATTACAAAGTTAAAGCATAAGAACAGAGGGGTACATTGTTTTAAACAAAACATTTACAGGCATTGAAATCAAGTTATAAGGCTTTCAGTTTTTCACCACTTACATTTATAAATGTAAAGATTTCTAAATCTAATAAAATCTAAAAGTATAAAACCTTTATGTTGTAATGTTATTTTACATTTCACAATTAGTTGAATTGTGTTCAATTTCAGTACAAAAAATATAATTTATTCTCCCACAAATACAGGTTTATATATATATATATATATATATATATATATATATATATATAATCCTCAAAAATACAGTAAATGTCAGAAGACATTTTTCATCCACTAGTTAGGATTCATAAATATTTAGAATCCATTTCTCCTAAAACATCTTTTATTTTTAACATATTTGCTATTCCATATCATAGAGCCAAAGTAACAGGACTTGTCTAAGAAAATTTGATAATTGAACAGGAACTGTGTTGACATCACAATCACATTTAAGAAATTCACTCTTTTTAAAAAAATATTGTTTGGTATTAAACACCACAATCTATGTTTAATTCAATTCAGCTTCAATATCATATTTTACCCCCCCTTATTGCTTATTTTCTGCTGCTGCTTGGTCTCCATCCCGTCCCGGTGGCGTTTTCGTGTCTAGTCTGCGCCCCTCCCCCCACTTTCTGGTCTGCAACATTATGCGCCGTGACGCATGCGCGCCATGTCCGCCCTGATGCAAATGCCACTGCGCAACCAGTTCAAAGCTGACTCATTCACACAAAGAAATGGCGGGCATCAAATGACAACTAATGCCAACTACTTAGTTATCGGTACTAGGCCTAAAAATAAAAGCAGCAAACGTCAACATGAATAAATGTATCCACTGTTTAGCTCAAGCCGTCATCTTTCGAGAAAGTTCCTACTGACCGCAGCGGAAAAGATGACGTCAAGCGGCCATTCCTGTTTTCTCCCTCTCCTTCCCCTTTAGTCCGATTTACCACGTTTAAAATCCACATGAAGGCGTTTAACATGCCGCTAAATCGCGAAACGCGAAAGCACAAATAACACTGCAAGCATTAGAAAGTGCGGAGTTACTCACAGCTTCCACAAAATATCACTTAAATCGTTTGACACATACCCATCTAGTCTCTCCGGCAGACGGAGACCTTATAAGCTCGGTGGGGGCTCGGGGTGGCACGTGACTTAACTCGACCAATGAGAGCATGTCTTGCATGTTTTGCTAGGCTTTTCTCGGAGCGGACGACAGACGAACGGCTGCGATGTTTTCAAAAGCAGCGATGAACGTCACACAGCCGTAGGCTACGGTTAACGTACAAGATTTAGAAAATAACTGTTAAAATCGCGCATCACTAAGTTAAATCAGGACGCGAATGAGTTGGTAGGAGCGTGTGACCCGGTTTGAAGGTAAGCGCAAAACTGTTCTTGATTGTTTGGGTTAGAAATCCTTGTTAGCCGTCTGGCTACGTTTACAGCGAGCAGGCTAATGTAAGAGCTAACTTGACGTAAACTGCGTGCGAAAATGAACGTTTAAGTGTTTGCGTGGGCTCGGTATAGTTGTACTCCACGTGCCTTACACACATTGAAGTAGTTTATGACACCTAAACAGCCCGAAACACATTTTAGGATTCGCTCATGTACCAGTGAAGCGTTGTGTTTGAAGCGAGGGTTCAGGGAGCAGATAGGAAAATGTCGGAGCGAAGCAGCTGGGTTAGACCCAGTCAGTCAGCGAGGCAGTGACGGGCTGGAAACGCTGGGGAGGGGGAACTGTGCAAGGGCAGCGAAAGGGGCTGCAGTGGGCTTTTGTCTCGAACAGGGTAGGGTGTCTGTGTTTGAAATATTACATGTTCTCGCTTGTTTTTCGTTTTTTGTTCTTTTTTTCACCTCACTGGCAGCGGTTAGCAATCATCTAAATATTCAAATGTAAACTTAACTAGGGTAAATGTATTATTATTATTATCCATTGCATGTTATAAGCAAAAAAAGGTTAGATTGGTGAATTTAGCGGTTTCTTACATTGGTTTCGGTGTATTGGAAGAAAGCGAGAGCGGCATAAATGTTCCCCTGAAGTGGGTGGTGTTGTCTGCAGTGATCTCGCCGCCGTTTATTTACAATCAGCGCTGGTTTTTAGAGATAATCACCACCAGGTCTAGTGTACAATGTAATTAGGATTTATTAATACGCACACACACAAGGAACTTGCTTCATTGAAGTAATTAGGAGCCCGATCCTCCAAGCCGGTGACTCTGACATCTTGGGGGGTGTGTTTGCCTCATACAAAAGCTGTCTGTTTTTTAGATGACGAGCAATCTGAAGGCAGACGACAAGCTATGTCGTCTGCCTTCTAAACATCTATGGTAAACATCTATGTTTACCAATAGATGGTAAACATCTATTGTGTGACACAGAATTTCATAAAGCTTTCAAATTGTACTTGCATATAAAAACGTAAATACAATTACCTTAAAAGTCAAGCCAAATGCAAAATAACATCATAAAATGCACAGAATTATAATTTTTCTCCAAAGTATTTTAAAAAATGAACAATAATATAAGGTTTTGTGTAAACCAAAGGAAGCATAGACAAAGATGACTGCAGATGCAGCTGCATGAATGAGGGTACTTGTTCATTTCATTGTCTTAGAAATACAAGGACTTGATTTCCACTGTAGTCTGTAATAGTGACGCACCATTCAATTATTAGGTTTTTTGCCCTTGATCGGCAGGTTATTAATTGAAAACCGGGATTTTTTTTTAATCAAAAAGAAACCTGTGAACTCCCTCATCTTTGGTTTGTAAATGCATAAACAATCACCTTTTTTATGCTTACAAAAACTCCGATAAAGGTCAGTGATATATGCTTAAAATTAAGTTAAATGCCAATTATAATTCCTTCTTATCTTTTCGGCTCCAAACAACCACATGCACCTCAGAGCCTTCAGCATATTTTTAATGTCAGTGTTTGTTTCATGTAGTAGTTAAATTAAAATGAGCGTGTTTATATGGGTCGAAGTTGTTAAAAAGAAAATCTGGACTGACTGGTCAAACCTCTAAGAAAACCAGAAGTTATCTGTCCTTCGAAGCTTGACTGATGCATCTGGAGACTTTAATGATTAAAAGCTTTAATTCAGGTATTACCACAACATTTACGAAGGATTATAAAACATTTATGCTCAAAAAGGACACTCCTATATCAAGATATAAACAGTGTAAATACAAAAT